CAGGCGACTTTCCCTGTTCTTTAATATAAAGTTTTTGTTAAAAAAATTTTAATTGATTTTAAAAATTATTTTTTACAAAAAACTTCAAAAACGATTAATTTTTTTAAATAATTTTGACCAAAAAAAGTAGATCAGTCTAACCAGAGCTGCGTCGAAATTTCGATTTTCGACGTAGTCAATTAACCACTAATATCTCAATTAATCCATTTACCTTACCCTAATAAGAGGGATATACTGGTATCAAGTGGTAAGTAGAATATCGGAGTAATAGGGGGTTTAAGATGTCTAATCTGCGTATTTAATTGGTCTCTAATCAACCCCCTAATCCTGTATATCCCTCCGATCACTGATATCCTTTAAGACTACACTTAATCCAATGAATCCCCTTATATCTCAAGATTAACCCTTATATCTCCATATTGCGGATGTTTAATACTTTTCTTTCGATTTTCAAAGATTTTTTATTTCGACGCAGCTCTGGTCCAAACAATAATTGCCAAAAAACAACAAATTTTCAATATAGGTATAACAAAAATAAGGTTTACCAGGTGAAGATGAGGGATTTTCACTAACCGATGTTGTCTAAAATTAAATTTTTTGACTAATCTAATTCTTTATGGATAACCTCTAAATTTGCTTCTTGTGAACTCATTAAAGCCTTAAATTAGTTGTTTTATTTAGTTTTTAAATGAAAGAATATTTGGAAATTTTTAAGAATAAATTAGCTAAATAATTAAATTATTTTCCAGGTGTAAAAAATAACACAAAATGTTTGTGGAAGAGAATGTAGAAAGAGAATGGAGATGTTCAAAGTCTTATTTATTTAAAAGTTATTGAATGATAAATAAACAAGGAGGAAGAAGAAGAAAAGAATGAGGTGTATATGTATGAGAATTATTTTAGTGAGAACATCAACCCTGTTTACATCCCTGAACATCAACCCCCTTAACGTCAACTGACCCTGAACATCAACTCATTTAAAAATATGTTTGTAATGGGTACACCCCAGCTTAACGCCGAACAAAATTTCCCGTTGACGGAACAATCACAGATAGAGTGTTATCATTAGGGTGTTTCAAAATATGCAAAAAAACCCTCTAACTGACCATCATTGACCACTGTCTTTTTTGCTTTAACTCATTACTCATTCAGCAGACACGCAGAATTTATGAAGTAATTAGAGAAAATTGGCGGGAACTTTCTTAAAAACAAGGGAAAAATGGGCGGAGTTTCCTGCCAATTTTCTCTAAGTACTACATAAATTCTGCGTGTCTGCTGAATGAGTGATGAGTTAAAGCAAGAAAGACAGTGGTCAATGATGGTCAGTTAGAGGGTTTTTTTTGCATATTTTGAAACAATGATCTAAGTCCAATGATAACTTATCATTGGACTTAGATCATTGGCTCATATGACACTTGCAGACGAGACATTTGCAGACCCGACATTTGCAGATAATATTGGCCCGACAATTGAAGATCAGACATTTGCAGATCCGACCTTTGCAGACCCGACATTTGCAGATATTAATTTTTGGAAAAAAACTTTTTTAAGTAAAAAAAATTTAAAAATCTTAAAAAATCAAAGGATATAGTATAGTATACCGCTTGAAAGTTTTCGATATAAGACCCATACCATTCGTCTCGACGAGCTGAGTCGAATGGTACCACTCTTTTTTCCGGGGTTAAAATACCCCGGAAAAAATGGTTTTTCAAACTCGGCATTACTCGAACTCGGTTTTCCCCAATTACTCGGTACTCGACTTACTCTACCTACCACTACATACTTTCTATGCTTCATATTACCAAAATTAATTTCAAAAGTCATTCAGCCGCTAGTTATCGTTGTTTGTCTAAACGATATACCCAATCTCATATACCTTTGAAATAGCTTTTTAATTGATATTTATATCAGGTCTATTTATTTATTCAGTGTTTTTTAGTTGTAGAAACATTTTGACATCCCTTCAGACCAAAAATTTTTACTAGGATAACATTTATATTCCAAAATTCTTTTAGTCTACCCAAAAGAGAATTTACGTATTAATTCATTAAATTAGATTAAATACTTCAAAGTATTTAATTTTATTTTAAGAAAAAGTTAGTCATAAACCTGTTTATTTTCTAGTCTATGTGCAAATCACCCGAGGCATCCAGCTGGATCGGAAACATTTTTGTTATAAAATTACTTTTCTATTTTATATTTTCTCTTTTTAAATTTTAATTTTAAACTGTACTAATATCTGGTTTTTAATTTATCTAAAAATAATTTTTCCACAATTTTTCAATATATCGTCGTCCTTCATTCCTCAGTATGTAAATGAAGGATTTTGAAAGAAAATTTTTTTGTAGGTTTTTAGGCTCAGAAAATTTAAAAATTTATTTTGAAACGAATTTTAATGATAAAGGACAAAATTTTGAAAATACAGGTTAAACAATGAAAGACATACAAAACTGACATTTTTTGCCCAGAGTAAACTCCAGCTTAAAAATTATTGTTACAGTCGAATCTTATTCGTACGATACACCTTCTAGGAAAATTTAACATTCAAGGGAGGGTGTCGAGAAGTGAGGATCTCTCTCCATATGTTTGCAATTTTGGGGTAGAAAAAAATCTTACGTTATTGAGAGTTATTGAGAGAGACGGCTGAGATCCGCATACATTTTTACAGACCTGTGCATGGATACGGATATGGATACAAATGAGTTCAAAATGCCTGCGGATATCCGCTGTATCCGCCGTAAATATCCGGATATGGATACGAAAATCCGTGTCTATGCACAGGTCTGCATTTTTATATATATTTTTGTTTGTTATAATTAGGGTTGTCCAAAACATGCAAATGCATGTTTTATATGCGGATATGACTTGATGTAGGAAACCCAAAAATGGTGGTTTTACATGTGTTCGAGCACTTTAGGACTCGGTTCTTAATGCATATATTTGCATATTTCGACCCTTTAGTGCATATTTGCATATCGGTGCATATTTTGGCAAAATTTTGCATATTTTGGTGCATATTTTGGACTGTTTCGTTCATATATGGCTTATTTGGCAACTTTCCGTGCATATGTTGGACACCCCTGGCATATTTTTGACACCCCCCTTCCTAAAATTAATTAAAAAATTATTTTTTAAATTTAAAAAGTAAAAAAAAATTTTTTTTTATAAATTTTGCTGACAACCTCTAACATTTTTTACTTTCTTAATTTAAACTGCGCAAACCCGCTACCCCCACAAACTACGCACAAATTCCATTAACCCTAAAAATGCTGCGCGCGTTGCTTTTTATTTGTAAATCATAAACCAAAATCAGTCACAGCGAAAAATATTTTTTTAATTTTTTCATTCTCGCATTTTTGATTTTACGCAAAATTTTATTTTTTTAATACAAAATAAAAATAATTTTTGAAAAAATTATTTTAAATTTTTTAATTAATCAATTAAAAAAAAATATTTTTATTTATTTTTTTGAAAAATATTATTTAGTATTTTATCCAAAATTAAAATTAAGTAAAATAAAAATATGTACTCATGTTTTTATTTGTTTGTGAAAAAAATAAATTAATTAATTTATTAGTAAATAATACTACTTTTTTTATGTAAAAGGTTGTTTTTGGAAAATAAAAATTTTTTTTTTAAATTTTTTTTAGATTTATAAAAAATTTTTGAATTAGATTTTTGAAATTTTTTCAAAAAAAAATTTTTGTTTTTTATGGCATTTTCTAAAACGCAAAACTTTTTGAAACAAAATTATACAAAATTAATTTCCTATAAAATTTTTAATTTGATTGGATACCTAAAAGGTAGAAAAATTTTTTAAAGATAGGGGTGTTCACTACCAGTTATTAACCGATTATTTCAGTTTATCCAAATTTCAAAACCCCGGTTTTCATTTTTTGGTCAAATACTGGTTTTATTTTGGGGGAATTTTTTCGGATTTTTATTTTGTAAAAACAGTTTAATTTTTGGCAAAAAAATATCAGAATTTTCAGATTTAAAACCGATCGTAAACAACGGCTGGCCGAAACTTGCGGACCGACTTTTGCGGACAAAAACTTGCGGACCCGACGAATTTCTCGAAACATAGCTCATTCGAAAGAGCTCGACGAGCTGAGTCGAATGACATCAAAATCATCGTGATTGTACAAGCTTGGACAAAGTTACGATAGAAAAACAAAAACATAAACCCCTGGTCCGCAAAAGTCGGTCCGCAAGTTTCGCACTACCTAAACAACACTTTTTATAAACTATCAGATGCTATATTTCTTAACATCTCATACTTCTTTAAATTTTCTATTAATTTTCAATAATATATCTGATATTTAGTCTTTATGCTAATTCTTTCCAAAACGAATATTTTATTAAAACTAAAAAAGATTTTTTCATAAAAATATACACAAATGATTAATTTAATTAATTTTTTGCTTGCCCTAATTATTTATTCTTTCATTTTTTTAATTATAAGATTTTTTGTTAAAATCTTTTCTCGATCATTTGGCGTCATTAAAGCGAGATCAATAATTAATCTTTTTTAAGATAAAATTATATATTATATTGAAATGATTTAGAGGAGAGGGTATAGATTTTGCCGTATAGATACCGTAATTTTCGATTAATTTTGATTATTTGCCTCCTCTCTCGATTATTTGCCTCCTCGATCAAATACCCTCTTTAATTAGAAGTTGAATAATAATAATGATAATCAACTGTAATTTTAAAATTCGAATACTAGCCCTCCCTGGATAATGATGTACTAAGGAGATCTACCTATGTACTAAGGATGTACTAAGGATGTACTACCTATACTCGAGACCAGACTTAACCTCATGACTAAAATTTTAAAAGACAAAAGTCAAATCCTCTGTCTTCTCATGGCAACTTATAACATTTACCAGCGAAAAATAAAATTTTAGAGGATTAAAAAATATTTATAAAATTTTTAAGGAATATAAAATTAATTAAAAATTTAATTTAAATTTATCTTTAATAATTTATTTAAAATGTCAACGCAAATTGAGCGTTTAAATTGTGCCGTAAAAAATTATGCTTGGGGCAAGTTGGGTGAAAATTCAGAAGTTGCCCGACTTTATGTTGAAGGCCATGAGGATGAAGAAATTAATAGTGATACTCCATATGCAGAGCTGTGGATTGGAACACATCCTGATGGTTAGAAAAAAAGATTTTTCTTTTTTTGGGTATAGGCAACCACAATTTAGGGACAAAATCGTATTTAAAAACGTGAGGTATCTAAAAGGGTCACCTCTCTGACCAGCTCGACGTTTGAGTTATCTTTCGGGAGGCATTTTTATCAGATCAGACCGGCCGAGGCTTTTTTTGGCTAGAATTCGATCCCCGACTCAATCTTTCGGACCGGACCGGGCCCCAGCTCTAATTGGGAATAATTTATATGTAGTGTTATATCTATATACTGTCATAACATAAGTCAACTTTAATAAATATTTAAAGCGTTTTACAAACTATATATAGACTGTTTATCATTAAATAAAATTATTTTAACTAAAATAAAAATATAAAAAATTTAAAAAATTATTTTTTATAAAATTTTGAGGTCCATCAAGAATTTATTTAACCAATGTCCAATTAAGTGAAATACTTACAGACAAGAATAAAAAGAAAAATATGTATGTTTAAGTAGGGTTTCACCTGAATCCAGATTTGAGTTCCGCATCCCGGAACCTCCGCAACCGGGACCAAAAACGCCGGAACTTTTCGGGACCGGAATCGGAACTTCCGGTGAAGCCCTAATGTTTAATTAAAGTGTATTCTTATTAATAATTCATTAATTTAGTCAACTACCTTTTATTATGAAAATAATGTCAATTCGCCATACACTATCACTTCAAGTTCATCCAACTAAAGTATTTATTAAAAAATAATTTTTATTTTTTAAATTAAAAATTATTTAAAGGAACAAGCCATTTTATTAAACAAACAAAATCCAATTAATTATCCTGATCAAAATCATAAACCAGAATTGGCGTATGCATTGACTAGATTTGAGTTACTTTGTGGATTTAGACCTGCAGGGGAAATTTTAGAAAATATGAAAGGTGATTTTTGATTTGCTTTAAATTTTTCTTGAAAATTTTTCTTGAATAAACTCAAAAGAAAAACGACTCAATCGAGTGAAAAAGTAAAAAATATTGTTATTAAGTTTATCAGTGTTAATCTGAAGGTCCCATTAAATAGACCAACCGATCGGGCTAGCAAATTTCAAGGGTTTTCGATGAGCCCAAAATTAAATCGCTAAGAGTTGGCAACAACTGATAACGGTTTTGTATGAACAAAGATTCATAAGGTGTCGAAAATATTTTTTAAAGAGCCTTACCCCTGTTTTACGTTGATTTTCGGGGTGTTTAAAAAATATTTAAAGTTTGTAATCTGCAAACCATATAATGATAAAATTTAGGGGTAAACTTATAATTTTAGGACAGAGTTAAGAACCACTCCTACTATTAAAATTTAAAAAATAGCATCCGCTAGATTATTTTTAAAGCATTTCCTGAATTATGTCAAGCAATGGGTTATCAAAATACAAAACAATTTATCGAATTATCTAAACAATTTTCGGCTGATTCTTATGAAATGATTAATGCTTTGAGGAAATGGTTTTTTTAAATTTTTTTAAGAAATAAAAATTTAATTTAAAGTTTTTCAACAATGATAAATTTTAAAAAAGAAAGTGTTAACAAATTAATTATAAATTTAATTAAAAGAATAAATAATGGAGGTATTTGGATTAATTCTAAATTTAAAAATAAATTTTTAAATTTAGTTTATGGATGTTTGAATATCAATACAATAAAAATAATTAAGGATATGTTTCAAGTAATTTATTAAAACTTTTTAAAAATATTTTTAAAAATAAAATTGATTCTTGTTATAACCAGAGGTGGATCGGAATTCCGATTTCGAACGTTTTTTCCTTCTGATTTCCGATTTCCGAAAAAAATTTTGATTTCCGAGTTCCGACTTTTAAGCCGGTTCCGATTTCCGTCTCTTCTTATTTCCAAAACCTCTGACTGTTCTACCTGTTCCGACTATTCCTCTGGTTAGAACGAATTAAAGAATGATAGGTGGAGTTTTAACTAGTGAACGACTTTTAGAAGACAGGGCTTAGGATACGCCTCCATCACAGGGCTTAGTACAGGGCTTAGCGCCTTAACATATAGAAAAATGTTCAAGTAGTCATCGAGCTCTTACAACTAAGTTCTAGCCTGTCTTATTACCGGGAAATGTGAGATCGGGCACTAGGCCACACACCCGATAATGCCGACTACAGAGAACCTATGCATATGTAGTCCATCCCTTCCCAGACATAATTTTTAATCTGTTTGATTTTATGTCAGAATATTGGTTAAGCCGGGAAATGTGAGATCACCGGGAAATGTTGGGAACGACTTCTATCTGATTTGTAAGGTTTTATCCATTATAGTCTTATCTATATGTCGGTATAACTCAGATCAACTTTAATTAAATATTTTAAGCGTTTCCCAACTGATATAGGCTGTTTATCTCCCATTTATTTAAATCATATAATTCTTGAACCTGGCGAATGTGTTTATTATGGAGCACAAGAATTACATGCATATCTTAGTGGAGGTGAATATAAAATTTTAAATTTGAGAAAAAATTTTTCAAAGAATGTGTTGAATGTGTAAGTTGTTCAAATAATACAATACGTGCTGGATTAACTAATAAATTTGTGGATAAAGCAAATTTAATTAAAGTGCTTAATTATAGAATGACTGATCCAGAATATTATTGTAAATATTTATAATTTTTTTGGGAAGCATTAAGTTCATTCTGATTATATGTAGCAGGAATGTGCTGAAACTGATTTTAAAAAGCGTAAGGTGAAACTGGCTCATCCCGGAATGTGTAGTAAGAAAGTTCCGAATTACTCGAGAATCACGTATTCTTGTCGGGATCCTTTAGGGGAAAGCTAAAAATTTAAAAATATTATTGAAACCCCCTTGATCCCAATACCTTCTTTTAATTTTTTCCGATTTCTCACATTGGTCATACTGTATTTATTCTAATATAAAGACAGTCTCTATTATAACGACACCCTAGAAGAGGGTTGAAAATTAAAACGACATGTCGTTTTATTTGAATAAACACTGTAAACACGCTACACATAGTTATCGTTTTAAACTTAGTTACAGGCCTGTAGTAACTTGAGCTCGCGGGTCACTGTCCTGCTCCTCCTCGGCTCCATGACAATTGTACAGTGGGACAATTGTACAGTGAGACAATTGTACAGAAGACCATTGTACAGTGGACAATTGTACAGTATTAAAAGCTTTTTTAAAAAAATTTAATGTTAACCCAGAGTATCGAAAACATATGATCAACAATAATCAAAGACGGAACGAACTTCAACGAACTTCCAATGACGGAAAATCCAATAACGGAACGAACTTCAATTTTTTAATTTATATGCGAAGTCTGTGATCAATTGTGTGAGTGATCAATCAATCAGTGGAGTGATCAACCTTGAAAGTGAAAATCGGAAAAAGTTGAGAAATATCGAATCGAAAACCGAGTGATGATCAACCGGAAGAGTGATCAAACGATAGCGATAAACGACACCGATATCAATCACCTTAGACACCGATATCAATCACCTTAGACACCGATATCAATCACCTCTCGGTTGATTAATTGAAAAATTTGATCAAAATAAGCTTCCCCGTCATTAGACAACCTCCCATGTTGTATAATAAAATTTAAAAAATTTAGTGTTGATCATATGGTTTTCGATACTTTGGGTCATATTTCTTACTATTAGAGCAAAATTATATTTCTTTTTAAAAAGTACTAAATACTGTACAATTGTCCACTGTACAATCGTCCGCTGTATAATTGTCTCACTGTACAATTGTCCCACTGTATAATTGTCGTGCCACCCTCCTCCTCCTGGTGACACGACTCGGGCACAGTGATCCAATTGCACAGTAAGTCATTTGCACAGAGGGCATCTGCACAGTAGACAATTGCACAGTAATTTGTGGTTAAGTGGATTTGTGTTAGGTTTTACTTATTGTTATAAGGGAATAAAATGTTATTAATTATTAGAGATTGGACCGAATGGTTTTTTTCGATATTTTTGACATCGAAAAATATCGACTGAGAAAATTTTGACTTTTTCGATATTTTTCGGTATTCGTTATTTATCGAAAACTATCGACCGACCTCTTCGGCGATCTCTACCTTTTCCAAAAATAAGATTTCTGAGAAAAATCTTTAAAACACAAAAAGAATCAAACGAACAAAAAATTAACTGAACATAATAATTGCCCCGAGTCTTAACATTTTGTAAACAGGAAAGAAGTTTTTGGATACCCCTTTTAAAAAATCTGTTTTCTGATGCACTGTACTACCCAAACGCAGTCTCACACTAAGCGTATTCAGTAAAGTGCCTGTCCCGTAAGAAATTTTTTAAAAATGTGAAAAAATGTTTATCCCATAGAGCAGACTCAGAACTACAAGGCGGTACCTAACCAAAAATTCTCAAATGCGGAGATCCTCTAGAACATACTCTAACAGATGATTCGTAATAAAAATAAAAAATAATTTCTAAAAACTTAATTTTAAAATCAAAAAAATCCAAATTAAAAAAGCGACACTAATTATGACCCGACCTAATAATAATTAATAACATTTTATTCCCTTATAACAATAAGTAAAACCTAACACGAATCCACTTAACCACAAATTACTGTGCAATTGTCTACTGTGCAGATGCCCTCTGTGCAAATGACTTACTGTGCAATTGGATCACTTTGCCCGAGTCGGAGCGCCCTCCTCCTATATTTGTTTTTTCTTCAAACAAAAACCCAAATTTTTGTTTAAAATAATTATTATAATGCAAAAACATTTTAAAGTTGTTAACCCCCAATCAGTTATTGGTTACCCACATGTTTTGGAATATGCACCAAACTGCAGAGATTTTACTCTTCATGCTGTGGAAATTAAATATAATAACAGAAATGTGAACGAACAATTTAAATTTGATTTACCAACAATTGAATGGTAAAATTAAAAAATATAGTCGGACCTCATTTTTAGATGACAACTTGTTTGTAAAAAATCGTATCTTACAATTAGAATGAGGTGTATCTTAAATGTGGAGATTAGTGATGTTCATGAGAAGAAAGAACCTGGGAAATGGGAGTCGGGTCAGGGAATGACCTCTGGAGTCGGGACCAGGGCTGATCGAAATAAAAATATTTTTTATTTCGAATCGAAACGAAATAAAAAAATTCCTATTTCGTTTCGGAGCGAAACGAAACGAAATGAGCTTGTTTCGGACGAAACGAAACGAAATAAACGAAATAAAATAAAAATTAAAAAATTTTTATTTTTCAGTTCATAAAGGCTTTTTATCGATATTTAAATCATAGATATGCACCCCACGAGCTAGATGCGTAACAAAAGCAACCCAGAAAGACGAGTGGGTCCCATAAATCTGCCGATATCCCCATTAATCCCCTTAAATCGACATATATCCGCCTTAATCCTCCGATATCCTATTAAAATCCATCGATATATCCAAATTACTTTGGAGTATACCACTTTAGATATCGATCAAAAGGGACATTAAGAGGGATAAACGAGATATCTTCTATATCCCTTGCGATATCTTGTATATCCCACTCCCAAAACCACCTATATTAACTTAATCCATAAAATCCAAATATACACAAAATCCACCTATATCCCCTTAATCTCGCCAATACCACAATATCACTTTAATCTTGCCAACTCTCACTTAATATCAATAATCCCTCGAGATCTCTTTTAATCCACCGCATAAAATAATAAAAATTTTAGTACAACACCAATTTGGAGTACAACTCCAGCATATTCAAATCTAGGTTTCAAAAATTTTTATTATTTTTAGATCACAGAAATAAAGATTTCGGACTATGGTAGGTTGGGCGACGGAAGGCTGGTCTGCTCTAGCAAAACCTGTAAAAGCTTTCTTCCTTTTTAGCGCCGCAGGCGAAAATTTTTTGAATTTTAGAGCGCAAGAAGCCAAATTTCTCCCATTTTCAGCGCCGCAGGCGAAAATTTTTTAATTTTAGGTGCTCATAAGACAGAAATCACTAAAAAATTAATGATTATTTCAATAAATTCCCGTCATTAGGGGTGCATTTTCTTAATTTTTTTTGTTTCGTTTCGTCCGGAATTTTGGCTATTTCGTTTCGAAACGAAACGAAATAAATTTTTTTCTGTTTCGTTCCGAAACGAAACGAAATGGATAAAAGGGCACGAAAGAGCGAAACGAAACGAAACGAAACGAAATTTCGATCAGCCCTGGTCGGGACTGTGAGGCCAAAAATTCGGGAAAATTTTCCTATTCGGGAGTCGGGATAACCGAACATCACTATAGGAGATATCGTTTATCGTATATTATAATAAGGTGTACATATGTATTACTCGGTGTTAATCAAAAATTTAGTAAAATGTTACATTGAGATCAGTGGTTATTAAGCGACTCCAGCTATGACTCCCGCTCCGACCTTTTTCGAATCGTGTTCCGACCCAAGACACTTCAAAATTCTAGCTCAAATCTATTACTAAGTGAGATATATCGGGTGGATCATAAAATGAGGGTCGGCTGTAATTTTGTAATAATTTTAATTAAATTTACAAATTTTTTAGTTCCTCTACCTTTATATTAACTGAAGGAGAAAATATAAAATGTATTGAATTAAATTCAAAAAAATGTTTTGTGAAACAATTTATGGCTAAAAGAGGATATATTTATTATATTCCTCCAATGCATACAATTCGGTTTCTATCAAATAATGGACTTTATCTTAAAGGATTCCGAACTTTTAGTTTTGAGGTAAAAATATCTTCAATTTATTCAAAAATATTCTCAATGAAACAAACATTTTAAAAGTCCATTTTTAATAAGAATTGACTGTAATTTAATGAAATTAAAAATAAAAATGTTAAAAAAGTAAAAAAAAAGTTAGAATGTAATGTAGGATTTTGAACTTTTAAGCTAAGAAAGTATATTCTCTTGTTATTTTTAGAGTTTAATATTAGAGGTAAGGCAATGCTAAAATCGAATTTTTAGTCGTTTGAAACATACTGTATATCCTGTAATAACTACCCTGGGTAATTATTGTTTCGACCTTCCGCTAGAGTGAGTAATTAATCTAGGGAGGGTAATTATACGGTTTGAAATTTGAACGTATTTTAGGGCATTTGTTGGGGGAGTAATTATTGTTTCAATCTATCGCTGGATGGGGTAATTAATGGAAGTGGGGTAATTATTTGAGGGAGGGTAATTAATATAGGTTATACGGTACATAGTGTTACATACTATGATTTGAAAATTATCCGATTTTACATAATAAACGGTCGAGATTAGAAAATTGTGTCAAAGTTCGAACAAATGAGCGTAGCAATTTTAAAATATATTTTCACTGTAAAAAAATTTTTTTCATCAAATTTACTATTAAATTATTTTCCAATAAAATTAATTTCAGGACGGCCCAGACCATTCCAAAAGAATTTTGTTCAATAATGAAAAAATAAAATCAAATAATATAATTTTAAATAATGATACTTCAATGGATGTTATAAAACAACAAACGACTAAAACCAAACTTATACTTAACCCTTCATTAAATATTTTCGATATTGAAACAGAAATGGATGGATTTCTCTAAATATTTTTAAATAATTTTTGAAAAAAAAATATTTTTTTTTGTCTTTCATTATAATTCTTCCACTGCCTTTTTATATTTTATAATTAAAAAAATTTTTTTTATTTTTAATATTTTTATTTAGAATATTTTTTATTAAATTTTAATAATGCTGAAATTAATGTACAACAGTCAAAAAAATTTTTAATAAAAATCTGAGAATAAAAAATTTTTTTGTGATTTTAATTTAATAAAAAATTTTAAAATTATTTCCGAGTACTTTTTCCTATTTAATACGTAATGGAAAAATTTATTTTCACATAAGAATGCCATATTTTCTCTATAAATTTAAAAAGAATTTAAGGCGGAATATTCAATTTAATTTGTTTTTTTATTAAATTTTAAATTTTTTAAAATTAAAGAGGCGTGTCAGAAAGAGGCGTGCCTATTTCTGCCTTTCGAGTTCCTAAATTTTTTCCTAGTGCCGCTTCTCAAAATTGAGAGAGAGAGAGAGAGAGAGAAATCTTCGAGTCCCTATTTCCATTTTCTTTACAATTTTTTATTTCCAAAACTTCCAATTTCCGACAATTCCAGCTGTCCATAACCACCCCCTCTTACCCTCCATACGCCTCTAAAATGAAAAAAAAAACATAAAAAACAACTGAATACATGTTTAAAAAATAAAAAATAAAAAAAATAATTTAAATTAATTTCATTTCATCTGTCGTTTAATTATTTATTTTAATAATTTAATTATTAAACGAAAAATATTTATTTATTTATTCAAATATAATTTGAGTAAAAATTTTAATTTAATTTAAAAAACAACTGATAAAGGACAACGGTATTTTTAAATGCCAATTTTTGGTTTTTATTGTTTAAAATTCGAGTATGAAAATACTAATTGAATCAGTCAGGCAAATAATTCATTAAATATTTTTAAGGAGTTTTGCCCCTGTTTTCTGTTGATTCTCGAAGTGTTAGGATCTCATGGGCCTAGTTTTTTTAATAATATTTTTGTTTGCAGGGATTTTTGCAAATGTTTTCTAATGTTTGAAATAAATATTTTATAAAGTTTCTGCCTAAAAAAGTATTTTAAAATAAGAATAATTGAAAAATTCATACATCTCTTGTTAGTTAAGTAAAGCAGCTGGGCTATAGCTATTTCTCTCCTTCAACTAATGCAAAAGGCTATTTGCCGGCTGGGAGCAAACCAGCATCTTCATTAGTCTGGACTAGAGTTGATCAAAACGATACTGGTATCGGCCAACCCGAGACCGAGATTGGCCGATACTCAAGAACCCGATACCGAGACCGATACCATCATTTTGAGCCGAGACCGATACCGAGAAACGATACTGACCGAGACTAACAGAAAATTTTATTTTATGTCTAAATCATCATCAGGTAAATACTCATTATCATCTGGATACGATCTGGCTTGGCAATGGATACAAATTTTTGTGTCCGTATCCGTATATCATCCGTATCCGATATAACTTTTGAGGCATATCCATCCGCTGGTATCCACGGATGGCCGAAGTGAAAATTTCGGTTAACCAAACCATTGATTTCAGCGCCGCAGGCAAAAATTTTGAGAAATTTAGAATTGCAAGTCAACAGATTTCTTCCAATTTTCAGTGCAGCAGGTGAAAATTTGTAGTTTTGGAAGGCCAAGAAGCCAGAATTCTTCCTATTTTCAGCGCCACAGACGAAAATTTATTAAATTTTGGAAGGCTAAATCACCAAATTTCTTCCTTTTTCAGCGCCGCAGGCGAAAATTTTTTGAATTTTAGAAGACATTATTGAAAAGAATTCACTTTTTCTGTTATGGACGGATATCCGAAAAAAATTATGGACGAAAACTTGGACAATATTGAAAATTTTGTTTCTTTGAGTCAGTATCGTTTCTCGCCGAGAAATGGACCGAGAATATCGGTATCGGTTTCGAGACCGAGAATGAAAAAACCGAGACCGATATTGGAAAAAAGCCGAGAATCTCGGTATCGGTCTCGGTATCGGTCTCGTCTTGATCAACTCTAGTCTGGACTGATGTGTTATCCATTACACTACGACGCCTACTGAACAGCCTTAGGGATTAAATAGCTATATGCTCTAAATACAGATATCTATCCAGATTTTTGGAAAATTCGGATCATTTCTACTCAATAAAGAATCTAATAAAGGAGTGGACATATATTTTCCGTCGTAGGTAGTATACTTCTGATTAGGTATATATCAGGGGTGGAGCTCGTGCCACAAAATACGATAACGAGATAAAACGAGATACGAGATCTTTCAAATAATACGAGAACGAGATAAAACGAGATACGAGATCTTTCAAATAATACGAGATTTCACGAGATACGAGACGAGCTCGAACTCTGGTATATATAGATATCCTCTTAGTCACTCGATATCCTTTTTACTTCTCACAATTCATTAATATCTCTCGAAATTGATGGATCCTAATATGCAAGAATATTCAAAATATGCTAGGTAATTACTAGAGCCCGGATTTTTAGGCAAATGCCTGTTTTTTTCCCAAATAGGCCTGATGCTGAAACGTCCAAATCAGGCGTTATTTTTATAAAATCTGCTTTCTAACAACTTTTATCGTTGCCTAAAATTGCCTATTTTAACTTTTTCTGGCATAATGCCCTATTTTGCCTTTTTTCAGCCTAAATGCCTTGTTTTTTTTTGTTTTTTAACTTTATTTCACTATTTTTTTTTAAAATTTTTATTTGCAAATATTTTTTTCAGCTATGGCACCTGAAAAAAGAAACCAAGCGTCGTTATTTCGTTCATGGATAAAAAATTATCCTGATTCAATATTTACTACAGATTCCAAAATAATTTTTTGCAATGCGTGCAGCCAACAGGTTATTTCTGATTAATCCAAAAATTTTCTATTATTTTACAGGTACCGGCAACCAAATCTTTCCATTTAAGACAGCATTCTGAAACAGCAAAACATCAATCTAATTTAAAACGCTATGGATCAGAACAACAACAACTAATTTCTTCGTCCTTTTCTCGGTCTGAAACCTCTGATACATTTTTAGAAGAACTTTGTGATTCTTTTCTCGCTGCAAACATTCCACTTTGGAAGTTAACCAATGAAGTCCTTAGGGAATTTCTTTCGAAATATTGCAAACGAATAATTCCCGACGAATCTACATTAAGAAAGAAGTATGTCGATATTTGTTACCAAAAGGTAGTTCATTTTTGTAAAATATTTTTATTAATTTATTTAAAAGGCAATGGCTAGAATTCGTGTAGAAGTTGGAAGCGGCTATGTATGGGCTTCAGTAGATGAGAGCACAGATTGTCAAGGGCGTTATGTAGCTAATTTACTTGTTGGAATGCTGCATTCTTCTGAATTTCATGTTCCTTCTCTAGTTGCCGTAAAAATGCTAGAAGCTACAAATCATTCTACAGTTGCAAGATTCGTCAACGATGGACTCAGTATGTAAAAAGTATTTATTTCTTTTTAATATTTTTTCGTTCAGGGGCTTTGGGAATTGCTGAAGAAAACCTACTACTTTTGGTGACTGACGGTGCTAAGTATATGATTAAGGCGGCTCAAGCATTGCAAGTGTTCTACCCTTCAATGTTACATGTTACCTTTATTTGCCATGGCCTCCATCGAGTAGCTGAAGAGGTCCGTGGAAATTTTCAAGATGTAGATTTACTTGTCTCTAATACAAAAAAGGTGTGTACATTAAGGTCGATAATCTTAGATATAAATTTCAGATATTCTCTAAGGCTCCATCACGACTTGCTAGATACAAAGCAATGTGTCCAGATATACCACTTCCACCACAGCCTGTCTTAACTCGTTGGTCGTCATGGCTTGAAGCTGCCATTTTTTATTCAGAAAATTTTCGAGCTATTAAATCGGTCACTTTAATGTCTTTTAATTTATACACTACTCTATTTGTAGGTTATCGACACTTTTGATCAAGATGATGCAGTCTCTATAAGAAAAGCACAAGAGGCATTCTCTTCGAAATCCGTTGCAAATCATCTTGCTTACATCAAGTCCAATTTTCAAGCAATTCCTTTGACTATCAAAAAGATGGAGGGGCAAGGACTACCAGTAACCACCATAGTGTATCTATTGGACGAACTTAAAAAGAAGCTGAGTGGCGCTTTGGGTGAAGTAGGGGAGGCTGTACTGCGGAAATTTGAAGCAGTCATGGCTAAAAATCCAGGAATTGAGAAGTTCAGAAATGTTGCAAAAATACTAGAAGGCTTAGAAGCAAATATTGATATTCCGCCAGATAAGATTGCTTCATTGAAATTTGCGCCTCTTCAATCATGCGATGTTGAAAGGACGTTTTCAGTTTACAAATCGATTTTAGATGAGAAGAGAACTAGTTTAACCGCAGAAAATCTCGAAAAATATCTTATTTGTAATTGTGAACACAGAAAATAAGTTATTTAATATATGTTTATTTTGTTTTAGTTAGTTTTTTAATTAAATGCTTGAATATGCTCGTGCCTATTTTGCATTTTTTTCGGATTTGAGTGCCTATTTTGGCAGTTTGATAGTGCCTATATAGGCGCCTATTTTTAACTTTATCGTGCCTAAAAATCCGGGCTCTAGTAATTACTAAGGCTGTGATTTATAGGCAAATGCCTATTTTTTCTGCAAGCTTGGCTTGATGTAATACGTTCAAAAAACGTGTTTTTAGATTGGTCCGATATGTCTAGCATCACTTTTATTTTGCCTATTTCTGCCTATTTTGGACTTTTTGAGCCTTTTTGCCTATTTTGTAATTTTCGGTACTATTTTTGCCTTTTTTAGCGGTTTTTCCTAAATTTTGCCTAAAAATAAGTGAAAAATCTAAAAAAATCAGTCTGAATCTACAAAAAATCAGTGCCAACTCCCATTTTTAGTGTATAGTTCGACAAATTGAGTATTTTTACTCTGTTGGACATTTTGAGATTAGACGTTTTAGTGATGGGACGTTTTGGAGTGGGACGTTTTGTGGGTTGGGCGGTATTTCCCTCTTGTCAATTATCGGAATTTTTTCAAAAAATGATTCAAAATGCCGAATAAATGGCAAAATAGTTTAATAAATAGTTTATAATTTAAAAAATGACGATTAAATGGTTATTTTTTTGTTTTTATATCCATCTTGTGGTCTGATAACCTTTTTTACATGCTTATTTTTGTGCTTTTTTTGGCTTTTTGGTGCCTATTTTAGGCGCCTATTTCACTGATTTTACATGCCTAACTATCACAGCCTTAGTAATTACAGAAGTAAATATGCACAAGACAAAAGATCCAAAAATATGCAATTAGAACTATGACATAAATAACTCCGCACGAGCTGTATTAAAGAATATAAATATGCACTTTACTTCTTGCACTCATTTACGTAACCTCGATTATCTTAAATTTTTAAAGTAAATATAAGCAAATTTAAATTTAATTATATATAATTAAATTAATCTTTGAAAAAAATTTTTAGAGTACATTAAAATATTTTTGTTTAAAAAATAAAAAATTTTACGCCTTAATACAAAATTAATTATACGCTAGAGAATTTTTTGTTTAAACAATACTTTTAGATAAAATGTATTAGAATTTTCTTTTATTTTTCATTTTTAAATAAGCTGACTATTAGTTACATAATTTAGAAATAAGGCCGAGTTGAGATAATTAATACAGTCTAACATTACTATAAGACACACTCTTAACGTTGAAAAAACTGTACATTTATAATGAGAGTACATCAAATTGCGGGTAGGGTTGCCGTTTTCGAGTCGGGCCTATACGAGTCTCTTTTGGGCCAAATATCTTAGGCCCGACTAGATCTTTCGGTCCGAGTCAGTCCATTTTGGCAACCCTAATTGTGGGTGTCATGTCCGATGTTCATGCTGTGGAAAAATTGAGGATGGAAGATGGAATTGAACCATCACGGAAAGAGCCCAGACCGAAGCACAACCGGCTGTGCCACCATCCAACCCAATGCTGGGTTATTTATTCTCATTTATGTTCTTTCTGCAAGTGCGGACACAACAGTGGGTATCACTTTGGCAGCTTCCTCATCGAGTAATCAACCAGATTTTAAAAACAGACCCTAAATAGGTACATACCTGATTTTGGATATTCATAAATGAGAAGCGACTATGTCGCACCCTTACTTTTGTGGTCGTAAGTATCCAGGATCGCGGTTTGCCGGTGTGAACATGTCGAGGTCCATAATCGAGGTCCTAGCCTTCTAAAAGAATAAATTATGGTCTTAGCTTTCTTTTAAAGTCAATATTTTATTTTTAGATTGATTTTCAAATAAAATTTTTCAAATTTTTCTTAATCAAGATGACTGACATCTACAACATAAATAATACAGTAACTTATATTTTTTGACAAAAATTTTTTAAATATTTTAAGTTGTACACTACCCATATTAACCCACAATTTTATTCTGATCTTTTCTTACCTGCTTTTATTAAATGGATAATTTGTTTGCCAGGAATTGTTAACAATTTGGCGTTAATTTGCGTTACCTTTAGAGAAAAGTATTTGGCTCTATTACACAATATACGTCCAATCAACTATTATGCGTCCAATCAACTTTTATACGTCCAATCAAAGTTCGTACGTCCAATGAAAAGTTTATACGTCCAATGAAAATTTATGCGTCCAATAAAAAGTTTATGCGTCCAATCAAATTTTATACGTCCGAACATATTTTTAGCACTTATAATTTAAAATAAATATAATTTAAGAAATACTTTTTAATAAAAAAAATCCTTATTTCATCAATTAATTTCGAATGCTTTAGCAAAAATTAAACCGGGAATTGTATTCCAATTAGGGTTGCCGGCCCGGTTCGGTTCGATAGGTCGAACCGGGCATCGAATTTTGGCTCGAAAAAGACTTGGTGCCTGGTTCGATAAATTGAAGCCCGAAAAAATGACTCGAACGTCGGCCTTTTTCGAAAACGGCAACTCAAATATATGTTGAAAAATTTTGTTCACTTGTAGATATGGATCTCATAACGCGAATGCTTCTTAGAATAGTGATATGAAACTGGTACGTGATGGTACTGCAACTATATATGGGGAATCATTTTTTAATTTTAATGTTTAATGTAACAGACATTAAATCGTTTCTTAAATTTGTTTTAAATGTTAGCCCTTGAGCAAGGCATTATAATAAATAAAAATTATTTTGATTTTTTCTGAATTTATTTTACTGGACGTTTAAAAATCTATTTGGACGCATAAACTTTGATTGGACGTATAAAAATTTGATTGGACGCATAAATTTTTATTGGACGTATAAACTTTGAGTGGACGTATAAAAGTTGATTGGACGCATAATAGTTGATTGGACGTATATTGTGTAATAGAGCCAAGTATTTTAATGTTATTTTATTTATTCCTTATCTGACAGATAAGATTCAATGGACATCGGGGATGGGCAAGGACCATTTTAAAGCGAAAATCAAATACACAAAACAAATCCAAAATCACATAAAAACATAAAACCACAAAGCACGGGCTAGGACATTGAACAACTTTAATAAAAACCCTTCGCAAGAATGAAGAAAATCTTTTCTTCTATGTGGATTTATGTTTTAGAGGTGTTTAGGTTTAAGAGGCCTTTCAGCTATGTTTATGAGACGGATTGGAGTTTTAGTTTGTCAAGTGTGTGAATTATACTGTCATCCCATATTCCGAATAAAATTTTTACCCTATTAGATGTATCTCATACATACTAAGATAGGTATCTGACCGTATAAACAGCATTATCCGCAAAATTTCTGTCAGAGAGAGGTAGACCTCTATTTTAAATTATTTTTTTAAGATCTCTCCGTGGGCCATGTAACCTTCTGTTAGCGTTAGGTGCCCTCTTTGACTTCTTCTATTTGTTTGGTTTTACAATACCTTTTTTCTTGGCATTGACAACAATTAATTTTATCCCTTTACAAACTTGCTTCTATATTCAAGCAATTCCTTTAACCTCCCTTTTTGCTTCAGTAAACACTGTTTTGTTTGTTGGAATTGATCGTTTGTTAAATGTTATCTTATCTTTAAAGTAAATTTTACTTTTCTGAAATTTATTGTACTGGCCAATCCATCTGGCCTGTACAATACGGATGGGGCATAGTATTAATCTGATTAATATAGAAACTTGAAAATCCCGCACATGGAAAGTGACTTTGATTAATTGACCTTTTCCATTACTTATGTACCCAGGTAACCTAACTGTAGTATCTAAAGGTTGAACAGTGGGTAGACTTTTTTTAGACTGTAGAAGCTTATGGTAAGGAGAAGCTTATGGTAAGGAGAAGCTTATGGTAAGGAGAAGCTTATGCTTATGTTAACCTCCTATTTACAGTCCCCTCATTATAAAAATCTGCTCTAGAAGTTGGGTACACCCGCGAGCCCATTATACCGCCAAACTATAACTTGTCAAAATTATAGTATTCGAAACACCCAGGTATGATTTGATTCAACTCGTCAAGGCGCATCGAACCCCCAAGACTAATTGTGAACAAAGTTATAGCTCGGCGGTACAATGGGCTCGCGGTACATTGTTCTTCTGCCTCCAAGAGGTGTATATAATAAAATTGATCTTAGAATTTAACTATTTAAAAATATATTAAATTAATTTTAAGATATCATTCACTAAATAAACCCATTTATTTCACGATTGTTTCTTGTGGAATTCTTGTTTATCCAATTTATGCTGTTTCTTTGTCCATTAATGGAGTTTGGTCACATCCAAATTGGTTAATTTAAATTTAGTTTAAAAAATAATTTACTAACCCATTTAACCTCTAAAGGTTAGTGATTTGTACAATTACACCTCCTGATCTCTATGCATTTTATACTGGCGCAATTCAATTAAAAACAAATGGAATTTATATAAATTCAGCTACTTTTATTTGTTATATGTTTGTTTGGTATTTCGTTTGGAGAGCAAAAAAGCAAACTGAAAATAGTATTGGAGTTGGAAGTACGTCGAACCTCTCTATATTTTACTCCTCCAATTTAAGACAATTTAAAATCTGCCTGGGCCTTTGACGGAGCTTTCATAAAGCGATTTCCCCTATTTAGTATACCTCTCATTTCTAGATAAGATTTCTAGCTCCACCAAGGGGTGTCTAAAAATTAGGTTCGATGCTATGTTAAACATCACTATAATTCCATCAATTGGACTCAAATAGGGAGAAAAAATTTCAGATCAACAAGGGAGGGATCTCATACGGGATTTTACTTTTAAGCAGAAGAATGGGATTGCCGGGATTCTGAACGATCTTGGACGCTGGATCCCTCCGCTTGATCTCTTTAAACCCAATTTTGTTAGAGGATTCTGTGAATGTGACTTTTCCAATCCCTATAAAAATCTTAAAGATTCTTAAATGATTCATTTTTAAAGATAATCAAAGTCATCGTATCTTTAAATCTGTTCTC